CGCGATCGCAAAATAAGGTCGGGCCTAAAAAAACTGGGGGTGGGCATTGGCCTTCGATTTATCCGTGTATTTTACAGTCTCGTATTACATGACTTTGCATTTCTTTTGTTGTCCTGTATCCGGTATTAATTGATGCAAGTATGCACAACTTCTACCTCAGTCGAACTCATACAGTTAATTCCCTACCCATAAGACTGGTTTCAATCCGACCGCATTCCATTCACACATCTTCAAGCCAAGAAGCTGTCAGGCCAAAGTGACCCTGGTCGCTGTTTTGTCAGGTCTACTCTAGCCGCCAATCTCCGATCAGGACAGAGATACCCAGATATAAATAGTAATCTAGTTGACACCCACCGTACCCTACCTACTACTGTAAGGGTCCAACGTCGGTGCTTTAGACCCTACCATAACTAGTAGTATATACTTGGTACCCTATACCACTGTAATAGATCTCATTTGCCTACGTACCCGCTCGGGTCGGTCGGTGGAAACCAAGCCAGGATCTTAAAGCTACAGGGTAAAAGAATCTCTCACTCGAGACAGTTGGTTACGGAGAATGATTATTCAAGAGCAACAAATAACGTGGATTATATGTCGAATACAAGACAGGCTCATTCGAAGAAACCATAACCGCTGTTCCTTCACAACTGGCGCCATTTGGTTTCAGTTGCCCTAACGTCCCCTTGTAGCCCGGTTACCTTCGAATGTTGTCCAGTCTTCTTCATATAACAAGAGAGGAGCGAGAGTAATGGAAAAAATGAAATACCACAAAGAAAAACAACCTCGCATGACGCAATACCACCCCGGAAGCGACCCTAGCCATTTTCCGTCGCCAGTTACCGATTGTAGAGACGTGCTTTCTTATTGTCCAAATCATCGTGTGCAGTACCATCACCCGTGCCATCCAGTTCTCGTACGGTATGTGAACCTTGACCCTTGGACATCAAGAATAACCACCTCCCACACATCTTCGTGTCATACCTTCATACTCATCGTCCCCAATGTTGCGTCGATAATAACATGATAACAGTCTGGAATGCTGAAATGTGCAAAATAGGAGATCAAAAGACAATTGCAGAGCAAGGGGAGGGAAAAGAAAACAAAACAACGAATGATATATCCGAGGGTTTTCAGTGGCAGGCATCAACTGAAAGATACCCCTCGTTCTGCCGAAAGACAGAAGATTTTCATTTTGCATCTCCTTCGGTCTAACCCTCCCGGTCGGTTTCAAAAGATGGCTTAGAGATCCTGGACAAACATGACAACCGAGGAGGGATGACGTAAAATAGCCACAGTAATAGCGTTTTGTTTCTTTCTACCAAGTACTTCCCATGTGCAAATCGAATGTAATGATTCTGAGAAGGCGTTCAAGTGTTCAAGTACGGAGTCTCAGGCACAATTGGGAAGTCCAGATAAACCAGCAGGCAGATCGGAGGGAAAACGCGGCGGATCGAAACGGCGGAAACCGGAAGACGATCGAAAACGGGATGACGGGCTAACAGAGAATGCAATGAAGTAAAATAAAAAAGGAAATAATGGAGACCCAAGGCGAAAGAAGTCGGAAGATTTGCTGCAGGTGGCAGAAGGTTACCAGCATCACGATGCTCTTGAGTTCTTCACATAATGGGATGTCAACATGCAGGAAGTCAAACTATCATCAAGAGAGAACAGCTGAGCTACCCTGCCATGTTGGATAATTAGTACCACTGAGCACCGTATCCATCGTCCCGCTTCGAGCGGCTACCGGCAGGGACATAAGCACCTGAAGCAGCAACCTTGGAAGCAGAACGCAGCCTAACGCCGAAGACTATGAGATTAGTCAGATTCTAGGATTCAAGGCGACCTCTACGTGCGGGGTCAAGGCAAATCACCAAACGCAGAGGAAAGGGGTTCCCTACACGGAACCTAGGTTTCAGATACTCACATCCTGTCACTCCCTCCCACAGCACGGTTGGTGTCGGGGGTGTTGTCGAGAGTTCCACGTTCGATGACCTTGCGGCGCTGGCTTGAGATAGCACCAGGCTTAGCAGCAGCACCGGGGGTGCCCATCGGTGCAGCAGCTGCCACGCCTTGGCGGCGCTGCTGTTCCTCCGCTTCTTTGTCCTTCTTGTTGCTAGCATCCACAATCATCGCGGCATTCTTCTGGTACTTGTAGACAGTCCAGTCGAAAACGTAGTCGTACTGGAAAGACTCGCGGACGAAAAGGTCACGGAAGATCTTGCGGAGGTACGAGTAATCGGGCTTGTCATCGAAACGCAGGGAGCGGGTATAGTTCAAGTAGATCGAGAATTCGTTGGGGAATCCACGGCAAAGGACCTCAGTGGGCGTAGTCATCTTCTTCTCCATGATGCGGTCATACTTCTGCTTCTTAGTAGCAGCCTTAAGTCCCTGCCAAGGGAGAGTGCCACGGCAGAAGTAGAGCATGACGTATCCCAGAGACTCCATGTCATCACGGCGAGACTGTTCAACACCCAAGTGAGTGTTGATACTGGCGTAACGGGCAGTTCCAGTAAGGTTCTTGTTCTCGCGGTAGGGGATGTGAAAGTGTGTCTTAGGATCACGGTACTTCTTGGCCAAACCGAAATCGATCACGTTGACTTGGTTTCCACGTTTACCAATGCCCATCAAGAAGTTGTCGGGCTTAATATCACGGTGAATGAAAGACTTGGCATGGATATACTCGATGCGGGAAATAAGTTGATCAGCCAGGAGAAGCACGGTCTTGAGCGAGAACTTGCGGTTGCAGAAGTTGAAGAGGTCCTCCAGACTAGGACCCAAAAGATCGATAACCATAGCATTATAGTCGCACTCAGTACCGAACCAACGGACGAAGGGGATGCCAACACCACCAGCAAGAGACTTGTAAACACGAGCCTCATACTCAAGTTGGGGGTGCTTAGCCTTGACACTCTCAAGCTTAATGGCAATCTCCTCGCCGGAGATAATATTAGTTCCTTAGGTTCCGTCAGTCAATGTTGGCCAGCTCGAGCGGTGCCATTCCAAGGGGATAAACACGAACCGAGATAGATGTCACCGAAACTACCGCTTCCGATCTTGCGGCCAATGCGGTATTTGTTACCGACACGCAAATCCTAGGACCTTTGTTAGACTATAGCCGCCCGGAGCAGAGGTAATTGCAACGGACTACGTACCATGGTCGTCATCTTGAGTAAAAGTACACACAGCTGGCGGCTGTGGCTGTAAGATCACGAAGACTGCAGGTCAGATTGTCAGTCACCGATTTCAAGGTTGTTGGATGGGCCGAATTTAAAGTCATCAAGGACGTATTTCAACCAGAAAAGCTGCAGGATGAACACAGAATGAGGCTGGAATAAGAGGGGAAGTAAAGGTCACAATGAAGCAGGCTGCCTTCGGCGCGTAGTTACTTGGCATAGTGAATCTTGCCCACTTGAGGCTAGCACCGGCTGGCAGCAGGGAATGCCTGGCAGTGAAACACTTGAGGAACACAAGAAACAGAACAGGTGTATAACGACAATTCCGGACCAAGAAGAGCGAGAGTCTGACAAACCTTGTAGAAAGAGGCGGGTGCAAAGAGGTGGGATAGCGGTGATGTCGACCGTTGGGGCTCCGACCGACCGGAAAGGCAAAAAGGCGGAGAGGGAAAAAGGAGATGAGGTGATGACTTGACAGGCCCTTGAAAGAGGCTGACAAGTAAATACGGGCGTGTGAAAAACCAACAAAAAGAGGAAAAGGGGAGAAGGGATAGAAGAGTGGAAACAAAAGGCAAGAAATCAAGGACAACGCCTTGATATCGGAAGGTGGGATGGAAGGAAAGAAGGGGAAGAAGAGAGAGAAGGAGAAGAAGAGAAAGAGAGTAAGATTGAGAGGGGGCGGGTAAAGGCCGGTGATCAGTTTGGCTGTGGTTGGCGGTCACAGCTTGTCACAGCAGTTACATTTCAATTACGACCTAGAGGGGGCTATTACCTTCCTTTGGTTGGGTATTTTTGGTATTTTTGTTTTAAAAGTATCAGGCAGTGACCAGCTCTGGTCGGGCAAAGAACACCATAGGGTAGAAAGAATTATTGCGATTAGAAATTTTAATAGAAAACTCATGTTTCTATTTTTTTTAAAAAAAAAATTTAAAAATTTTAATCCATCTTCGAACGGATGCTCAGTAAGTCGGTGAAGAAACTTGTCACTAGGAGGGCGTAAATAGTAATTTATTTTAACGTTTGTTTTCTTGAGAAGGCAAAAAAGAAAAGAAAAAAGGGCAAAAATAGTCTCATATCATAGAACTTCTCATCTGTAACTCTTTCTGTACGTACATACATACATACATACAATACCCTATTTCCTACTACGAAAGGTAGTCACTAGGTACCCCCAGTTTCCACTTCCATGTATCATCTTTCCTACCTACTTGATCACTTTCTTTAAGAGCGACAGAAGCTATTCCACATTAGGGTAAACACCCATCACGTCAGATGCTTACCCTACTGATCAAAGACGGCGCTCAGGACCATCTCAATAATCCTGGTACATATATGTTAGGTAAATACAGTACGAGACATTCATCCAACATAGACGACCAATGCTTGTATACTACGTCGGTGGATGCCTTCAGTGGTGTAACAACTGCGAAGAGTTGGCCCAAAAAAAATGGGAAAGTTCAAGGTTACTAAAAAAAAAAAAAGAAACTTCGTTACGATATCTCGTGGCAAAAAGTCAGTGCACATTCCCATGCCACATGGACGTTTGTATGTGGATTGAATTTCAAGTCGCCGCCGATTATCGATTATACCAGCAATCGAACATTTGACCGAGGTGCCCTGTTTAATCAATTGGATCTTTTTGTTTCTATCCTGTTTTACCAGAGTCGACACTGATTGACTGCCTCACATGGGGCCTGAGGCAATTACCAGGATGGATCCATCCAATTGTCCTTTGATTGATCTGGGGTCATCTGAGACTGGGTAAACTAGTATGGATCCGCCGACATACTCCGGGCTCTGTCAGGTAATTACATGCGATTACGGGGGCCCGATTTTGGGCAGAAACCGCTCCTAGCTCAAGATCTCTGACACCGATGCCACAGTGGTCGGTAATCATATACATCGGGTGACGGCCGATCAGAATTGTCCTGTCCGCAGTGGTATGATGTGCCTCATCCCAGTTCTGACGGACAACTATGTACTGCTACTACTACCTCCTAGTACACAGATGACCTTCCCAAATCATCCAGCCAGGCTTACAGCACCTCCTTAATGTTCATTCATCCACTCCATGATGTATCTACTATATATACTACTGTGCATGTTCCGATAAATATGATGCTTACCACCAACTTCATGCCAACACCAAGTCACCCTAGAGCATCGATATCTAGTGATTAACCTGGATTTATCTCATACTCCGCACCTCGGAAAGGGAATCAAACCCATGACGAAATCGGTCCCCTCAACAAGTCAATTCACCACCGGGCCAGCTACGACAATGATCGAATTATGGCATCCCACTGAGTTTGTATACAATTTAGACCTCCTGGGAGTCGGCGCGATACTTGTATTAATCAGATGAGAATCTCCGAGGTGATCCTACTTGATATATTCATCTCACTGACTTATATAATCTTCATCCATCCACAAGGCTGAGACTGACTCAGTGAATAAGACGGTAGTTCATGAAAAGCAAATAATTGATTAGTTCAGACAGAGACTTCGTGAAGTGAAAACTTAAGTAATAGTACATTCCAAGGCTGTGTCAAAATGTGAAGGGGTATAAAAAAGAAGTCGAAGGAGACTAAAGCAACAGAAACAAGACAAAAGGAACAAACATAGGAGAGGGAAAGAAGGGAAATGAATCATAATTCCCTGACTTCATCGCGCACTGACTAAGATAGCCCGCTGATAGCCAGAGTAACAAACGAATATAAAACAGGCATAACGTATGTCTTTACATCGTCTAGATGACAAGTCGACAATTCATCAAAACATACACAGAGTCAGGGCGCTTTGAAGACACGATAATGAAGCCGAAGACACAGGACGACGGTGGCCCTGGCAAGCTTCAGGCCTCGCAGCAGGTTTTCCCATGGGGTATAGACAAGTCATCCGTATACTGCCGAGTTTCTTAAATCATGTTTGTTGTCGCAGGCCCCCCTTCTGTGTTACGGGGCTTACTTTTCTCAGGAGAACTTGCTCTGGTGTCATCCTCATCCAAGCGCCGCCTCCATTCTGCGAGGCTGTCACTTAGCCCTGTTTCTTTGGTGGGAGTCCGGTCGAAGTCAGACTGAGTGCTTAACCGATAATTGCGGTTAGTACTCTCCCAGTGGCTACGCAGGGTCTCCAGCTCATTAGCCAGGGAGTCCAAAGCCATAGACCCACGATTGTCAGGGAATGGATCCTCCTGTGACACAGCACTGTTGGCTCTTGATCGGCTTATGGTATTGCTCGAGGCGTTGCTATATGTCCGCGAGATGCCATTCGTGTTTTGGCCATGCTGGGACTGTCGACGGTAATGCCCAACCGACGCTTCCACTTGATCCAAAAGCATATTGACCTTCTGTTCAGCATCTGAGGCGCGACTTTCGAGGAGAGAATTTTCGCGTTTAAGCTGATCCAGTTCGGTGCGGCTCTTTTCTGCAGAAGCCATCAGTTCTTGCTGGGAACTTTCATATTCCGATCGAGACTTTTCCTTATCAGCCTCGGCGGCAGAGAGATCCTCCTTCAGTTTGGCGAGCTCGCTTTCGAGATTTGCGATAGAGGACGAAGTTTCTTGCTGTAGGTCGGCAAGAGATTTTTGAAGTTGTGCACGTTCAGTCTCCCACTCGGTCTGTATCAGCGATCGGTCAGAAGCTTGCGCTTTGTCACTCTGGGCTGCTTCCAGTTCTGATTGTATCTTTGCATTCTGGGACTTATAACGAGTTAGCTCATCCTTCATCCGCTTCAACATCTTTTCAGTTCCCTTAACATAATGAACAGCTGACTGGTAATCATTTTCAAGTTGTTCTAGCTTCTCCTTATATGCACGGTCAGCTTCTTGCTCGCGAGTCTCGAATGACGACTTCATTTCTTCATGGGCCTTAAGACTGGTCGAGAGCTGCTGTTCTAGCTCACGAAGTCGACTCTGCTCAGGTGTCCCAAACCGAGACCCAGGGGAATCCAGTCGAGGAGAACGCCTGCTATCGGAATAATTGACCCCACGCTCACCAAGAAGGTCTTTGAGAGCTGCGTGTTGGATGGCTAAGGCGCCAGACTCGCGTTGATGGTTTTCAAACTGGGCCTTCAGCTCCCTGTTCTCAGTAGCATGAGACTGGCCTTCTTTCATAGCTGCTTGGAGCTGCCTTCGAAGCTGCAAACCTTCTCTACTGGCTTGCTCCTGGTATGCTTCTAAGCCTGCAATCCTCTCTTCTGCACGGCGGAGCTTGTCTGCTGCCTCATCTGCAGCCGTCTGGCTAGCTTTCGCCAGCTTATTTGCCCTTTCCACCTGTGTCTCCAGTGCAGCTACCCGCTGGTCTGCGAGCGACCGCATGGAAGAATCTGAATCAAAGGATCTTGCGCGGTCAAGTCCTGTCAAGAACGCATTCTTATGTGTCTCAGCTTCCCTGGCATTGCTTTCGGCGAGTTCTTCGGCGTCGTGAAGACGACGGACAATATTCTCAAGTTCTGCATTCTGTTCCTCGTGCTCGGATCTGAGCTGCAGCAATTTTTTCTCTAACCCTTCCCGACGTTCACGCTCCTCTTCCAATTGTTTCTCGAGAAGGGCTGCTTTACCAGAAGATGCAGATACAGCCTCTCGGAGCACACCCAGATTAGTACCAAAGTCTTTGAGATGAGTCGAAGAGTCCTCAACCTTTTTCATTAGCTCCTCCTTGTCCAAGGTAAGCTGTTTTGTTGCGGATTCTGCTTCGGCTCGTAGCAAAGCCTCTTCCCTCATGGAGGCTTCCAGCTGATGTAATTCTGCACGGAGGCTCTCGGCCTCTAAAGCATTGTTTTGCATCTCGAGTTCAGCTAAACGTCTCCTGGTAGCTTCAGATGTCTCTTCAGCTAGCTCTCTACCCCGCTTTTCTTGTTCAAGTTCAGTTGTAACCGTATCCAGTTTTGACTTGAGTTCATTCTGAGATGCAAGAGCTAGAGCCAATCTTCTGCTGATGTCAGTGCTTCGCTCCGTCATCACTTCTTCAGGATCCTGAGAGCGCCCATCA